TACGCCACGGTGCCCATGTAAAAAAAAAAAATCAACAAGAACCAAGCCTCGCCTGTCGCGTATGAGAGAGAGAGAAAACATACCTAGCCCATTGCTTTGGCCTGATCTCCTTCACACAACTTGCCACAAAAACATGGCGGACGCCGCTGTCAAATGTGGCCATCGCGTAGCAAAGCGAGAGAGGGGCGTACTGTATCTAGTACTATAGTGTACATCTATGGTCACACCTCACTCACCTATTCATTCGGTACACTTCCTTTCCTTTTCTTTCCCAGATATTTCCTTTCTTAAGATCGTCTCTTCAGGACCAGTCATTCGCATGAATGAACACTAATTTGTTTAAAAACATTTTTGGTAAACTTATACGTCTTTCCCGAGGACACAACGTTTGGCGGGACAGTGCAGGATTTGAACCTTCAACTTACCGTTTCTGTGGGTCCGGCAGCATACCCATTTAGACTACCAACATCATAAAACAATCTTTCCATCCAAAGAGAGGCTGTTGATATTCTTTTAATGTATTTATAAGCTGACACTAAATCATCAGCGACATGATTTTACGCTCATATTGCTGAAAATTGGGATTGTGAGCATTAGAAAATTGTATTTTCCGCAACTCAAACCTCGGAACCCAACTGATGTTAAGTCTAACGAACACATGTTCCTAATAACGAAATCTTATAATTTATTAGCAAAGATGTGTGGCAAGCACATCTTAAAATCTTTTCTATGAATTGCGAAATTGTATGAGGTTAATGTCCCTTGCACCACTGTAACGTTATTCAAAAGGCGGGACCTCCGAATTTACAGTCCATCGACAATAGGATAGGACCGAGCTAAAGAGAAAAAAAAAAACATTTGTGTAAATACGCCTTCTAACACTACGTCAGACCATTCTGAGCATTGAAACCCCGAACCCGCAATCTCATAATTAGGAAACTGTACCCATCTCTATGAAGAAAAGTAATAACGTACTACAAAGATGTTAGTTGAGAGAAATTAATGTTATTCTATAGCGATGCTCAAATGAAAAAAAGGGGTTAAAGAAGAAATAGTTAGGGTAGGGTATTTCTTTTATGCTTGTAAACAAGGTGTTCCACCTGTTTTCTTGGATTTTCAGCCTTACCATGCGGAGAAAAAAGGACGAGATGGAGGCTTCACACACACACGGGCTTTCAATGGCACAAGCTACAGACATTATTACATGTAACTTTTTACATTATTTTCTCTGTGTCAGTGACTCAAGTTATAGACATTACCACTGGGATATTTTTTACCCGTTCTCACTGTCTCAGTGACACAAACTTGGACAATAGTGTTGATTAATTTTACTCTGTTCTGACTTCCTGAGTAATACATACAGTAAACATTAATATAAATTTTTGTTAAACGTTTACTTCTTTCTTACTGTTTAAACAGCACAAGCTATACACGTTAATACTGGTTTCTTTTTACTTCAATCTCTCCTTCGAAATAGCACAAACTATAAGATAGCCGTATTATTTTTTAATAACTTCATTCTAACCTTCTTGATGGCAAGAGCTATAGACTTGCTTACTGGTTATTACTCCATTCCTGCCTCCTCAGTATGAGATTTTCAAATCCCTTTCCCCGCTCTTATCGTAGTCATTTAGAGAGCCCTGAAGGCTTTATAACTCTGTTATTTCGTTTTGTTTTATTTTTACAAGTTCAGGGAGATGATAGTGCATAAGCGGCACCCCACCATCAGGGCAGTTGCGCCAACCGTTGATGGAATTGTCGATTCATTTGTATTCACTCCCAGCACCGCCGCTCTCCCTTCTCTCTCTTCTCCCCCTCTCTCCCTTATCCCCCCTCTCACTCCCTCCCTCCCC